CAGTGGTTTCTTACAGCCCATTTGTCACCAGTCAAGTGTGCCAGGAGCAGGTGCTGAGACAATATTTGGGGTGCAAAATGTTTATTAGGGATCAAACCCTGTAAGAGGAAGGGGAAGGAGCCATCATAAGAAACAAATGCAAGATACCGAAGATGGCGGCATAGGTAAACACCGTAGATTGCTGCCGCAAACAACCACTTCAAAAATACAACTAAAAGACGGAACGGACATCACCCAGAACCACAGGAAAGCTGGCTGAGGAGAGACTCTTCAACTAGAAGGAAAAATAACAGCACACCGAGGCTCAGAGGAGGCGCAGTGTGGAAAATACTCAGGTGCGGAGGTGCGCGCGCAAAGCGGGCTGGTGGCTGAGAGCGCGGTTGTCGTTTTCGGTCAGGGGGGAGTCTCAGACTCTGAGCTCCAGATACGGGCGAATCGCTGGGGACTCGGACCCAAACGGGAGAAGCGGGAGTGTCTGGCATCAGTTGGAAGGCAGCTTTCCCTCCGAGGTTTGCAGCGGTTCCGGGGGTTCTGAGAAGCAGAGCCTCTGGGAACAGGACTGAGGGCACCATAACGGCTCCCTCCGCCCGCCCTGTTGAGCCCGCCCCGCCCAAGCCCTGCGCAGAGCCATTTGCCGGATCGCCTCAGGCAAAGGCTAGATTAGCACCTCCCCAGAGGACAGAAGTTTTCCGCGGCAGACACAGCTGATTCACACAGCCAGTCGGCCTGGTGGTCAAATCCCTCTAGTATTAACTACAACAATCAAGGCTCAACTAGAACAAGACTGCGCACAAAGACCACTAGAGGGTGCACCAAGAAAGCATAAAAAATGCGGAGACAAAAAAACATGACAGAAATGGAGGATATAGAGCTAAAAATCGCAATTTTGAGGGCTTGCAAAAATTTGCTAGAAGCTGTCAATAAACTTGAGGAGAGAGTCACGAAAACTAATGAGACCCTCGATGCTATGATAAAGAACCAACTAGAAATTAAGCATACACGGACTGAAATAAAGAATATTATACAGACACCCAATAGCAGACCAGAGGAGCACAAGAATCAAGCCAAAGATTTGAAATGCGAAGAAGCAAAAAACACCCAACCGGAAAAGCAAAATGAAAAAAGAATCCGAAAATACGAAGATAGTGTAAGGAGCCTCTGGGACAGCTTCAAGCGTACCAACATCAGAATAATAGGGGTGCCAGAAGATGAGAGACAGCAAGATATTGAAAACCTATTTGAAGAAATAATGGCAGAAAACTTCCCCCACCTGGTGAAAGAAATGGACTTACAGGTCCAAGAAGCGCAGAGAACCCCAAACAAAAGGAATCCAAAGAGGACCACACCAAGACACATCATAATTAAAATGCCAAGAGCAAAAGACAAAGAGAGAATCTTAAAAGCAGCAAGAGAAAGAGAGTCAGTTACCTATAAGGGAGTACCCATACGACTGTCAGCTGATTTCTCAACAGAAACTTTGCAGGCCAGAAGGGAGTGGCAAGAAATATTCAAAGTGATGAATAGCAAGAACCTACAACCAAGATTACTTTATCCAGCAAAGCTATCATTCAGAATTGAAGGTCAGATAAAGAGCTTCACAGATAAGGAAAAGCTAAAGGAGTTCATCACCACTAAACCAGTATTATACGAAATGCTGAAAGGTATCCTTTAAGAGGAGGAAGAAGAAAAAGGTAAAGATACAAATTGTGAACAACAAACATGCATCTATCAACGAGTGAATCTAAGAATCAAGTGAATAAATAATCTGATTTACAGAATGAACTGGTGATTATAATGAATCAGGGACATAGAAAGGGAATGGACTGACTATTCTTGGCGGGGAAAGGGGAATGGGAGATGCGGGAAGAAACTGGACAAAAATCGTGCACCTATGGATGAGGACAGTGGGTGGGGAGTGAGGGCGGAGGGTGGGGCGGGAACTGGGAGGAGGGGAGTTATGGGGGGGGAAAAAAAAAGAGGAACAAACGTAATCTGAACAATAAAGATTTAATAAAAAAAAAGAAACAAATGCAAATGACATGACACCAGTTAACATATATGGCCAGCTAGTCCTGCTTTAAAAATAGAAAAAGCTCAAAATAATTAATATCAGAAAAAGTATAGATGATCTTCAAACTTGATTTATACCTATTACACTCTTTATTAGTTTATAAAGAGTATAACATAATTAAGGGTTTATCTATTTTCATATGGAGGGAGCTTTATAATCTACTAGTATAACTTGGATGGAATTTTTAATGCTAATAATATTTTACGAATGTTAAGACAATACTAATATTTAGTTAGAATTTAAGTCAATATAATTTAAGGTAAATTTTTTTTCAAAAAAGGATGGGGCAGGGATTAAGATTGGCCAGAGGGAAAAGTTGAATGATAATGTACATGCAAGGAGGCATCAAGCAAACCAGTGTTGAGCTCTGGACTTAATATTGTCCACCAGGGTTGTCTTGCATTGGGTCAGAATGACTGGGCCTTTCTCCCCATCGGTCTCAGTCACTGGATACAGGCTGCCACAGGAAGGGTGGCCTCAGGCAAGGAGGCTCTACTGAAGCCAACCCTGAAGGAGTGGGCAGTGGAAGTTTCCTTGAAGGGGGAACCTGTCTACACATCTCACATCTCCCACGCTGCTCGTGGGATAGTGAAGAACAGTACACCGCTAAAATATTTTAGCCCATCTACATATCTTGAATACCTTTAACTTCATCAACAAGAGTCCATTTCTAATACCATACTTTTTAACAAACTAATTTCAACAATAAAAATTAATTTCTGACATTCAAATGCTAATGCACAAAGCCTCAGGTGTTCAGTGAGCCATCCACCACAGAAGCTCTTGAAGTGGCTTTTCTGATAAAACAAGAGGTGACTACCCTGGAGGGGAATTTTCCATTAGAGCAACTGGCGGCCCTTAGAGTAAGGAAGAGCATGACTAACTGCCTTACCGAAGTGTTTTAAAGTAAGTCACAGGCATCCCAACAACTTCCCCTTGTCGCTGCGTCTGTGACACCTACTCTCTCATCTTGCTCAATCAAACTGTCTTAGGGACTGTTTGGTTACAAAGAAGAGAACCTATTGGAATTAGTTGGAATTTATTGCGGTTTACAGTCAGGATACAAGGATTTGACAGGCAACTCCCAGACACTGAAATTGGCAATGAAGGCTCTATGGGCCACTCAGGATGGATCTGGGGTGCTGGGATCCCAAGTTTTCCCTGCTTCTCGTGGGCCTCAGGGTCCCCCTTTCTCTGTTTTTCTCTATGTCTGCTCCTGTCTCCCACTTCTCTGCCTTTCCACTTACTCATCAGTACACTTCCCCAGATTTGGTTCTACATAACCACCATCGTTTGACCATCTCCGTGTCTCTCAGGTTAATGTCTTGAGAGGGTAAAAAAGGAGGAGGAACTATACCTGGCACAGCCCTGCCTAAGGCCTGGTTCCCTTGCCGTTAGCTGAGCATTTCGGTCCGTCATCTGTGGCCAGGGTTGTGGAAGAGCAGGGTAAACGAGGCTCCTTCCAGGGGCGTTGGGAAGTCAAATTCCCCAAGAAGAAGGTGGATAAGGGGAGGCTCTCACCAGCATCTCTGGCATGCCTACCCCAATGCCAGAAGTCTCTCACATGTACACTCCTGTATATGTGTGTGTGTGTGCACATGCATGCTCACACACACACACACACACACACACACACACACCACATGTAGTAGATTAAACCAATCCAAGAGTTACTGCCATGAATTCAAATTGTAATAGTCAAATATACACATGATGTGTCTTCCTTGATTTGGTTCCTATAGAGATGTCTTATCTTTCTCAGAAACCTCATCTGCTACAGATAACACCTCTCCATTGTAACCCAAGGAGGTCTGAGTCAACTCTCCCTCGGCGATGGTTACTTCTACCAACTCTGGCTGCTACCGGGGCTAGGATGGTACAGTCTCCCTCACAGACTACACATTATCAACGGCTATGAGTCAAGTAGCCCACAACCAAGCCTAATCTAGAGTCGACTTTCCAAGAACACGCTGGCCCCTGTCAGCTCTAACAACTAGACCTCAGCATAAGCTATCAACCCGGTGATTTGACTCATGAAAGCAGAGCTCTTTGTTATCCTGCGTACATAGGAACCTCAGATTCCCCTCAGTGTTTTCTTTCATGCCTGTTGCATCATTTGGAATTGCCCAGGGAACCTGGTGTATCAACTAATCTTAGCCGTGAGACATTTTAAAGCAGGCATAGCAGTGAATCGAGAGCCCTGTGTCCAGCTTCCTAGTACCACTCACCTTTGCTGGACAGGGCAGCCCCTGACCAGGCTCAATAGGCTCCCTCATTCCCCATGCTCTTTCCCCCTGAGCCTCACATCCCTTTAACAGGGGCAGAGGAAATGCAGAAAAAGTGGAGACATCTCAGGCAGAAAGAAACCTGACAAACTGACGACCTCAGAAATCCTTAAAGAGAAAAGGCATATGGTTCCTTCCCAGACCCCCTTTGTTAGGGGTAGGAATAGGGGATACCTGAGTAAACACCTATATTTATGTTTCTCCCATCCACTCAAGTTCATATGCTTAGAGACTTCCATGAATAATTAGGTAAGTGTTTGCTAGAATATTCTCTCCTGAAAAGCCTGTTGGAGAGGTGTCCAATCTTTTCAGGTTTACCTCAACCTGGCTGCCCTGGCAAGTCTTCTCAAATGCCAAGGGGTCCAGGCCAGTGCGGCTAGGCCAGTGGTACTGCCCCTTGCCACATGGCCCAGGAGACCCTCACCTGTGACAGGCGGGTCACAGTGTTCTCAGCCCCCCCCCCCCC